GGCTCACTAAACTTAATGTGTCTGTATCCCTGGATACACAAAAGTAATGGGGCAGCGGGTTATTTATTATTAATCACGGACTATTTTTACTTAGCAAAGCAGGAGCTTGATGCTCCTTCAGACCAGGGATGCAGATGTTTTAAATTCTCATTTGACTTGGTCTAGAAACACCCATCCCTCTGAGGAGAAATGAAACACAAAGCCTTGGAAAGTCAAATGGAAAAGAACCATGAGTCTATTTAATTGGGAGATACAAAGGTTTCTAAAGAGAGAACCTGTAGGGATGGCAGGGGTTGGCAGTAGAGTTTGTTTTTGAAATCTAACCCTGGGGAGATGCTCTGATGAGATACTGATGGTCTATGAACCCAACAGGAGAGAAGAGAATGGATGGAAGAAGGCTTAGAATTCTCTTCAAAGCGTCCTAGAAGAATGTACAGCTTTGAAAACAAGTGAGAGGGAAGAGAGAATTATGTCCCCTGGACGTTTGATATTGGAATCCAAGTTTAAGGCTTTGTTGTGCAAGATTAAAAGAGATGACTGTACAGAGACCATGGTTGGTACCCAGAAGCCCTAGTCGACACACTGAACCCAGGTCTGGAAGCCCATCATGGGTAGCCATTACCAAGAGGCCAGATAATAGAGTGTAATATTGCCAGTTACTCAAATAGGGCCAACCATGGGCTTTAGATTTCTTTGTGGATTGTTCTTTAATGCGTTTGAATTTGGGAATTGGTTTGTAAAGCAGTTGGAAGCTTTGTAAATAAAGGCAAACAAGGGAAAAAGAGACTGTGTGCTATTTCAATTACTCCTTAAACCAGCCCAGACAGATAAATGGTATTATCCACTTTTACAGATGAGAAAAACAGGGCTTGGAAATATTAGGTTATTTTCCCACACCCCTGTGCATTAAGTGGAAAATGAATAAATGTTACTCTATCCATTCCATTCAACAAATATTTATTGAGCACTTATTGAGCTTGTTCTGGACATTGGGGAACCAAATGATTATTTGAACCTGTATTTAGCTGATCCTGGAGGCCATTCTTTTTTCACCAGCATCTGGAAACAAAACTCTTCTAAATTTGAGAAAATGCAAATTTGGATTACTCTAGATTCAAGAGATTTATATGGGGTGGAGAGAGTATGAAAACAAAAGAAAGGTTTAGACCCAAGCCATTTTGCCTGATACTTAGAAAAGAAAAGAAAAGAAAAGAAAAGAAAAGAAAAGAAAAGAAAAGAAAAAACAAAAAAACGGATAATAAATGTTTAGGGTTACATTTTCCGATTATAAAACTTGGGGAAAAGTCTAAAGAAGCAAAACTCATTTTTAAAGTTATAAGCTAGGGATAATGAAAATAATTATATTCAAGTATGTTTTTCCAGCCTCCTTTTCTACTTTTGGCTGTTTAAAAATTTTTTCCTCTTGGTTTTAGTTTTCAACAGTTTTATGTATTATGTCTGTGTATATCTTTCTTCATGTTTATCTGGCCTTGGGCTTTGTAAATCTGTAGGTTGATGTCTTTCATATGTTCTAGATTTTTTCAGATATTCTCTCTTTACATATTGTTTTTGCTTCTTTCTCTCTCCCTTCTCCTTCTGGTATGCCAATAACATGTATTGATTAACCTTCTCAATGTGTGCCCTGTGTCCCTTACTTTTTCTGTACATATTTCACCTTTTTCTACTTTGGGCTTCATTCTGATTTTTTTAAAGTTATCTTTTAGTTTATTCTTACTCTTAAGCTGTATCTGATTTTCTATTAAACTCTTTCACTGAGTTTTTAATTTCTGTTGTTGTAACTTTTTAGTTCTAGATTTGTCCATTGGTTATTTTTCAAGATTTTCTGTTTTCTACTGAAATTTTATCTTTTAGTTCCCTGAACATATTCAGTATAATTGTTTTTAAGCAATGTCAAACAACTACACTATATAGATCCTTTGTAAGTCTCTTTCTATTGTCTATATGTCTCTTGAATTTTAGCCATAGAGCCTTGCCTTCCAGTGGATTCCCAACTTGGAAGCATTACTCCTATCTGTCCTGGTGAGATTCCATGAACAGTAACTTAAAACCAAATAATAGTACTCCATTCTAGGATCTCATCAAGTTTAATATACATTGTTGATATAATAATAGCTTTCCTGGGGGTTGGCATAAAGAAATACTACAGGAAAAATATACATGTGACCTGAGGTCAGACATATCACATAGTAAAAGAGTATGTATGCATCTAAGAATGACAGAAATATGGCCGAATTCCTCAGTCTTGGCAGACTTGATTGTGTATCCTGAGTCTGTTTCTCTTTAAGTCTTCTTGTAAAGCCTCCATCGGGAGAGAAACAAAGGACCCGAATTGTCCTAAGCTTTCTTACTTCCAAAGGCTTGAGAACTTTCCAAGGTTCCTGCTAGTTACATACACATTAAATGTATGAGAATTCTGCACAGAGGAAATCATGGGTGGGAGCCTGGTGGACTATGGCAGCACCTATATCCAAGGAGAGAAGATCCCTACCCTCAAGCTCACTATTGAAGGGATTTCTTATCTTCTGCTGAGACGTATGTGGCTTGAGTACAGTTCACTATCTTTCAGTGTTTCAGGACTGGTCTTGAGTATCACCCAATCTTTCTTGGCCATAAGTTCTAACAAGCAAAGCTCAAAATAGATGAAGAACTACACTTGAATTACACAAATCATCACCCTTTGATAAGCTAACTGTCCACAGATTCAGTTGCCTGCAGAACCAGGCAGCTGGGGTAGGGTGGAGGTCGGGGGACTGAGAGGGGCTGTGGCCATATGGGGATACAGGCTCAGGGTTTCTAGATCTGAATTTAATACAGAATTTTATGAGAATTCTTTTGATTTTTATGTTCGCAACTATCCAATTTTCTAAAATTGGCAGGTATAACATACCATGCTTATAAGATGATTGCAGTCTGTGGACGCCTGTTGGTTGCTGCCGACCTGCATGTTGAGCATTGAATGAGTCTGTACTATCAGAAGGTGGCCCCATCATGAAAACAGTGCGGAATGCTTCCTCTGTGTTATTCCATTCCTGGCGATACAAGCACTGGCACTTCAAGTCTATGTGTACTTTCTTTTCTTTCTTTCTAAATCCTCACCCTAGGAGGGAGGACATTTTTTCCATTGAATTTTTAGAGAGAGCATGGAAGAGAGGGGGAGAGGGAGAAAGAAGAAAGGAAGAGAAGAGGAGAGAAGAGAACATCAGTGTGGGAGAGACATATTGATTGGTTGCTTCCTACATGCGTCCCAATGTGGGGGAATCGGGGTGGAGGGGATCAAACCTGCAGCCCAGGTACATGCCCTTGACCAGAATCAAACCCACCACCCTCTGGTGCACAGGCCGACATGCTAACCACTGATATACACCCGCCAGGGCCACAGGTACTCTCTGAGTTCACAAAATACACTGCATTCCCTATACCATTATTGGAACTTTTTACAGCTCACTCAGTGACTTTTTTTTTTTTTAATACGTCAGATTGGCTTTGGACTCACCCACCAGGGAATTTGCTCATATTATATAGCCAGAAGCAGAATATCACTGAGATCAGCCACTGCTTGGTCTGTCGGCAATCTTAGCGTAAACAACCTGTAATTTAGCTAATATCAGCAACCTTGCCAAATTGAAATTAGGAAATAATTAATTTAGTTCTCAAATATTTTTAAAGTGTTATCTGAATGGAGATTCTTTTCTTGCCTGGAGGCAAACTGCTTGAAAGGTAATTGGGACAATCATGGGAAGAAAAGAATGTCCAATGCATTGAGTCTTAGAAGAAAAGATTAACAAGAGAGTAGGGTAAACTGACCAACAAAATGGGCCCAGAGGCATGGATGCATGGAACAGGCTGACATATCTCAGGGGGTGGGGCAACGGAAAGAGGTTAGCCAAAGAACTTACATACATGTAGGCATGATCAGTGGACACAGACAATAGTATGATGAAAGCCTCGGTAGGCCAGGGACTTAGGAGAATGGGGCTAAGTGAGTTTGTGTGAAATTGGTGGCCATCTGTAATACTTTCAACAATTAAAAAAAAGAGAGAGAGAGAAGGAAAAAGAAAGAGACTAGGGAGGCTAATAGAGTAATTGGTATCGAAACTCAGTAACTAAAGGCTGGATTCTTTGTGGGACATGTTTTATGTCATTAGGCAAGTATTATTCACTATTGTGTCACAATCCACTTGAGAAGAATATGTGATCTATCTGATAGAATATTTCCAGGATATATCTAATATCCTATTCAGTGATCAGAATAGCTGGTGATGCCTTTTCTATTGTACTTTAACTAGCTGTCCAACTGAATTAGAGAATAGAAATACCTTTGTAATTAAAATTGGTGTTTAGATGCAAAGTTATACTTGTTGTACCCCTGAATTTATATTGTGATCTAGTACTTTTAACTGTAATGCTCAACACACTCATGTTTGGGAAGATGAAATCTAAAATCTAAGTTCAGTTCATGTATGCAGTCTTTATTTTCCTGTGTTTTATTATATATGCGCTCTTGTTTCTGATCGGTTCTACTTTCTGGGTACAACACAAATATGAAATAATCTAGTTTAATCGCCCAAGCTTTAGGGAACAAAGGAGATAATATAACAACACTGAAAAACAATAACCTTTCCATACAGATCATAAAATCTACGGTAGGTGACATGGTTCTTTTATCCAGCTCTTCCCAGCTCCCACATTTTGAGAAAGAAATGAACATGATCATCTGAGAGCCCGTCATGATGTCAACTTTCTTTACATAGAGAATGAAATACTTTTTTATTTAAAAATAAGTTGTTTAAAAAGCTGAAGATATGACTGATACATGCATTTTCCATTGTGCATTTTCTCTTGGTAATTCCGTTGAGTGCCATTGTTAGCAGGCTCCGTGTCACTGTCTTTTCCATTCAGTTAAGCATGAAAAGATGCGATCCTAAAATGGAATGCTTCAGACTTTTAATAGCTCTCCTTTTCTTTTATTCTCCCTTTAGTCATTGAGGAAAGAAACTGCTCAGACCCTGGGGGTCCAGTCAATGGATACAAGAAAATAACAGGCGGCCCTGGGCTCATCAATGGGCGCCATGCAAAAGTTGGCACTGTCTTCTCCTTCTTCTGTAACAGCTCATATGTCCTCAGTGGCAATGAGAACAGAACTTGCCAGCAGAGTGGAGAGTGGTCAGGGAAGCAGCCCATCTGCATAAAAGGTAACTTGCATGTATTTCTGAAGTCTACAGAAATAGAGGTGGAGTTGCTAAACTTTGGTAGCTCCCCTACATGTTTTTGAGCTGCTGGGAAAATTCTTTTTTCCCTACATTCTCACTGGAACCATATATTTATTAATCTTAGGTTGGAAACCATCCCTAAAAAAAATTGCTTCTGTTTTGGACCACCAAAAATGTGAAGATATGACTAACACATGCTCACCCTAATCACAACTTCTTTTTGTTTTTAATAAGAAATACTTATTGAGTACCACTTCTTTACTTAAAAAATATATTTTATTGAATTTTTTTTATAGAGAGGAAGGGAGAGAGATAGAAAGTTAGAAACATCGATGAGAAAGAAACATCGATCAGCTGCCTCCTGCACACATCTTACTGGGATGTGCCCACAACCAAGGTACATGCCCTTGACTGGAATCAAACCTGGGACCATTCATTCCACAGGCCGACACTCTATCCACTGAGCCAAACCGGTTAGGGCTAATCACATTATCTTGATGTGATGGAGAACAGTATGTGGTTATCAGAGCAGTTTAGGCAAGATGACAGGGCTGAGTTTCAATATGCAAACCCAAGGACTGGATTGAAGCAATCAATATGCATTTTTATAGCTACATTTATCTCCTCTCTGTGTAACATTAAGTTCCTGCAGGAAATGAAACAACAAAATGGAAGAGCCATTCCTGCCCGCCTAGGTGGAGGGAGGTTTGAGATGGTAAAATGTTTACAAACATTTTTAAAAGGCAGAAAGCCTTTGAACATCCAAGGCAGGGTTCCAAGAATAGATGCGCAGTGCACGTGTAGAGACGGGAATGACCCCATTGCCTAGAGAGGGACAGTTGCATGCAGTGAGGAGACTTGGAGCCCGTCTGGGAAGAATTTGTAGAGGTGAAGAGGAGCTGGGACGATAATCTGGTTGGAAAAGAAAGGAGAAGAAAAAGAGGATAGGCAGGGGTGAAACAATCATGTCAACCCAAAGTGAGGCAATCTGGGAATCTGGGAGATAAATGAAAAAAGGTGGTTGGGGGGGGGGGGGGAGGCCCTTACCCCTTGGCAATGGGGATATATCCTTGGCCTAGATTATCCAGATAATTGCCTCAACCCTCCACTTTCCCTTCTGGGTACTTGTCAACAACCCTCATCATGGGAAAAAGGAATGAAAGAGGATGGTTTGTAAAAGGAATGAATCCCTTTAGACTCGAGCCAGGAGCGACTTTCATCCCCACCAGCACAGACTCCCCGATTCTTGTTGTCATTAAGCATGGAAAGGGTGTCCCCTATGCCCGTGGAGATTTTTGTCAACTCTTCTCTTACAAGTTCATAAAACCCAAGTTCCCTAGGTTGCTAATGAGATGAATATTGGCTGCTTGATGAAGAAAGTGACGTGGGGAGGATTTCTTTTTACCGGTGAAGAAGAAAAGACTTGACAATTAAACTGGGCTTTGACTCACCCTCAAAGGGTTGTTAGGAGCCTTTTTTCAGGGAAGTGACGTGGAGGAGTCGGTTACCCAAGACTTACTGGTTGACACTGCTGTCTGCTTTTACATGAGAACCTTGTCATTCCCTATGTTGGTTTAGATTTCAGAATCTTCGTTTTGCCATTTTGACCAAATTTACAAATACTATTTATAGGTCCAGATAATCCTAGTCCATTAGCCGCCATTGTTCCAAACCACACAGGTGGAGAGCTCTTCCCAAGTGTACCCCTGGTCTCTTCAAAGGGAGTGTCAATTGTGTCTCTGCTAAGCTGTCAAAGCTTGCACATGTCCCACCTCCAAAAGCCTGGGGAATGTGAGGTGCCCAGAAAAGGTGGTCAGGTCTGAGCCTGCACTGAATGCTGTGAGCAGTTAAAATGGAACAAGAATACCCAGCGCTGTCTCTTTTATCCCTAGCCTGCCGAGAACCAAAGATCTCAGACCTGGTGAGACGGAGAGTGCTTCCAATGCAGGTTCAGTCCAGGTGAGCTCTCTCCTCTGAAGGTGAAGGCCAATGAAGGTTCCCTCCCCACCCCTTTTCTCACTTGTGTTTGGCCAGGCAGCTTGGTTTCTTAGGGACATTCAGTGCTGATTGGCATGAGAGAATAGGGCTGGTCGAGTGGTGGCTTGTTAGCCAGCTGCCTTTAGCCAAGAGGTAGCATTTGTTGGAAGATGAACAGATTTCGCTGGATCGTGGGAAAGTAGATGGCTGCCGGGAAGTGAGACTTGAAGATGATCTTTGATGAAAAAAGATCAATGGATTTCAATACCTTACTCTTCCTGAAATGTCTATGTATTCATTATGGCAGCTCCTAGGGAGATGGCATTCCTGCCAAATGCAGTCAGCTGTGGCTCAGGAAGATGTTCTTGGTAGTAACCAACCAGGTGAGGCTGGCTGGTGGAGCCTAGGAACTAGAGATGGATGCTGTGAGCTCACTAGTACACTCACCCTGCCTTACTCCTGGAAGGACTACCAGTAGGGAGAGAACAGACCCATTTCTACTCCTTTCCTTTGTAGGAAATACTCTTCTCATCTTATCTCCCAGCATCCTCTCCTCATTCTTTCCTCTCCAGCTACACAGCCTCTTTGCTTTTGCCATAGCCCTCCAAGCACAGATCTGCTTCAGAACTTTTGCATTTGTCAGGAACCTGCTTCCACTGGATTTCAATGAGGCTTAACGTCTTGCTTCCTCCAGTTCTCTGGTCAAAGAGACCTTCCCTGACTGTCCTTTAAAAACTAGCAACCCCACACCTCCACCTTGACCCTGAGCTGACTTTTTTACCTAGGGCTCTCTGGCCTTTGCTATGCTTCATTTCTTTAAAAAATATATATTTTTAAATTGATTTCAGAGAGGAATGGCGAGGGAGAGATAAAAACATTAATGATGAGAGAGAATCATTGATCGACCGCCTCCTGCACACCTCACACTGGGAATCGAGCCCACAACTTGGGCATGTGACATGACTGGGAATTGAACTGTGACCTCCTGGTTCATAGGTCAACACTCAACCACTGAGCCATGCCGGCCAGATTACCATACTTCACTTTTCATCTTAGTAACCATCTCAGCCTGGTGTCTTCCATATAGTTTTTTGGTTTACTTGTTCTATTTCCATCTGCGCCCCCCACCACCCTGCCAAAATATGTAAAAGTTACATACATGTGCAGGAACCTTACCTGTTTGTTCATGTTGAAGTCCCAATATCTAGAATAGTGCCTGCCACAGAGGAAGTCCCTGATAAACATCTATTGAATGACTGAATTGGATGGGCAGACAAGGGTCCAAGACCTGGTCTGTCTCTCTTTAGAACTGGGCATCCTTAGCAAGTTCCTCACTTGCTGAGCCTTTCATTTCCTCTTTTGAAAAAGAAGAGTAATCATAATAACATCAGTCTCTTGTAAGGATTAAATGCAATACTAACTTTTATTGGGTGTTGGCAGTGTGCCATTTGATGAATGCTTTATATCTTTTAGCTCATTTAATTCTCACTACAATCTCCGAAGTAGGTCTTATTAGCATTTTATTATACATTTTATTACCATTTTTATTACAGATGGGTAAACTGAGGCTCAGAGAAATTAAGGAACTTGCTTAAGGTCACACTGGTAGAAGAAATGGCAAAGCCAAGATGCAAATCCAGGGTTTTCAGGGTCTGAAGCCTTCAGGGTCTGCTCCCTTATGCACGAAACTTTATGTCTATGTAAAAGCCCTAGCAAAACACCTTAGCCTTATGCATACCTGTCAATAATATATTTTTTGAAAATAGTATCAATACGTGACTAGAATTGACCCCAACCCCAACTAAGTGACCTGAAATGTTTTGACAGCAGAAATTTATCAGTCATTCCCTGTTCCTGGGGCTATCGCACTCCATGTCTGTCTTTCCCTTTCCAGGCAGGGCCTTTCTGTGGGAGCAGTGACAGTGGAATCCAGATTTCACCCCCTTTTCTGATCTTTGTGAGTCACCTGGGCTGGACCCTCAGCCAGTGGGATAAGCCTGACCCACCTGTCCTTCCCAAGGAGACATCTCACAGAGGAGGCCTGAGCTGTTAAAAAAAGAACTCGAACTTTGCAATTGAAAAGCACTTGTAATGGAGGTTAGGTGCCCGGGTGCCAGGTGTCCCATGTAGATAAAAAAGCAAACCTAAAATTTGGTTTTAAGGATCTTTCTGGAAGACAGGCGGCTAGGGCAGGGATATGCCAATCTCCAGCAGCCAGGCTTACCCAGGAACCCCCGAAGGCAGTGTAGACCTTCAGCAGAAAACCCAAGAAGTGAGCTTGTTTGCTTGTCCAGAAGCTCCCTGAGCTGCAGACCTGGTTCTGAACATGAGCTGAGAGTCTCTCTGATGAAATCCATGGGCCTTGAATATCTGCTCTGAGCAAATCCCTGTAGAGACATAGGAAATAGATCGCTTTAGATGCTATGAAATCGGTGAGGTAGAGATAGCAGGGTGGGAATCATGACCGATAAGTGTTGCCTTGGGTACCGGCTTAGCTTCCTGTGTTCCCTCAGGCACTCCCACTTACCTTTCTGGGCTTCCTTCCTCCATTCAATAAGCGGGATGAGCTCATGGATTCCTAAAGGAATTCTAACTTTCCAGTTAGCAGTCATTATGCACTGATATAAAATGAACACAAGCTGTATGAAGTGCTTACATCTCCCCCAAGAATCCCCAAGTGGTCTCCTGGGGCTTCAACTTTGGGGCTCATTTAAAAAACCTTTTTGACATTTACACACAACACTCCATATTTTTCCCAATCAATGTGCCCTGAGAGAAAGCTTTATTCTCCGAGGTGTACTAATTACATCTGCTAATTGCTAAATCAAGCTACTGTAGCAATTCAGTTTAGTTCAAGCCAATTTCTGATATTGCTCCATTATGATAACAGTTAGAGGGGAAAAAATACATCTGGATCTTTCCCATTCAAATTAACTTCCTTTCTTGTTTAATTTAATTTTTTTGTGTGTGCATGTTAGTGTTCCTTTGGATAGCAGCAATTATGTCAGATACTATTTTCTTTGGTTAAAATTCTAGACAGCTGGAGACATGCCATAAATGGAAATGGAGAATAAAATGAAGGTTGAAATGTGCAAGATAATTTGCTCAGTGGTAGAAGGGAAGTGTGTGCATGTGTGTGGGGGAGTGGGGAGTGAGGAGGCAGGGAGAGGAAAGGAGAAAGAGAAACAGAATGAAAGAAAAGGGGAGAGAGAGATAGAATCCATTGCCTTCTTTGAATGTAGCTAAATATCTACATGGGGATTGGCATGAGACTAAAAAGGCCACAATGACTGTCTCACTTTGCTCTCTCTCTGGATCCATGTGCCCCGATGCAGGCAGACCCCATTACACCAGCTGTACTCATCCACCTTCAGCAAGCAGAAACTGCATGGCATCCCTACCAAAAAGCCAGCCCTTCCCTTTGGAGACCTGCCTACTGGGTACCAACATCTGCACACCCAGCTCCAGTATGAGTGCATCTCGCCTTTCTACCGCCGCTTGGGCAGCAGCCGGAGGACCTGTCTGAGAACCGGGAAGTGGAGTGGGCGTGCCCCGTCCTGCATCCCCAGTGAGTCAAGGTTCATCCTTAGACTTGGGCAGCTTACATCCTACACGGCAGCCTATGAAAAGTCATTAACCCTTTTTTGGGGGGCAGAGGTGGGGGGGAATGGTACTTGCCCAAAGGAATGGTACTCTAATACGTTCCCTAGATAGGTGATGTCTGAAATTACACAGAGTTTCCTTCCTGTGGCTTAAAGTTATTATGTAGGCAGAAACCGCTTTGGCTCAGCGGTAGAGCGTAGGTCTGCGGACTGAAAGGTCCCAGGTTCGATTCCAGACAAGGGCATGTACGTTAGTTGTAGGCACATCCCCAGAAGGGGGTGTGCAAGAGGCAGCTGGTTGATGTTTCTCTCTCATCGACATTTCTAACTTTCTATCTCCCTTCCTCTCTGTAAAAAATCAATAAAATATATTTTTTTTTTAAAAGTTATTACCCAGAAGAAATTAACTCATTAAATCTTAGATAATTTTGGGGGGATGGGGCATACTTTCTTATGGCTAATTCTATTATATTTACTTGGAAAAAAGGGAGAGAGCAGTCATTAAAAACCAAGTGGAGAAAGGGTTAAAGGTGTCAGATAGTTTCTAGTTATGTCATCTTTGTTACCCTGAAAAAGCCCCAGTTTTTATACTCATTAATCAATGGTATTTAATTAGATTATTGCTATTAATTAGACTAGAGACCTGGTGCACAGATTTGTGCACTGATGGGGCTTGGCTTGCAGGGATCAGACTGCTGTGGGAGTGCTGCTCATCCCACTGCCAGAGCAGCCACTCATCTGGTTAGCTGACTGGCACTACCATTGTGGGAGCACACTGACCACCAGTGGGCAGCTCCTGTGCTGAGCGTCTTCCCCCTAGTGGTCAGTGTGCATCATAGCAGTTGATCTACCAGTCATTCTGGTTGTTCCACAATTCAGTCATTAGGCTTTTATATATAGAGATAATGAGGTATTAATTACTCATAAAGTTATAATGTTTACTGAGATAATACGTAGAAGTGTTTGGAATAGGGTCTTACATATTCTAAGCTACCTTCCCTATCCTCTTTGTCAAAGGAAAGCAATATGGCTTAGTCCATGGTGGTCACTTTTATAGTGATAGTCATAATATTTCAAGTCTAACTGGTTTTATACATCATCTCACCCTGTGAGGTGATTGCTATTACTCTATCCGTTTTGAAAGCAAAAGACTGGGGCTTTTGAGATTAGGCAACTTGCCCAGTAAGTACCTGGGATTGGAAGTCTCCAATCTTTACCCTAGATTTTATAGCCAGCCATGGCAAGGTGGTTGATTAATATTTAATAAAGCAGGGAAGACCTCACAAGTTAGATGCTTAGTGGTCATGACACCGATGGATTTGTGCTCTCTTGGTTGTGTGACACATTTCTCTTCTGAGCTGATCTTACTGAGCCCGTGCTTTCTCTGTAGTTTGTGGGAAAACGGAGAACATCACTTCTCCGAAGACCCAGGGGCTGCGCTGGCCATGGCAGGCGGCCATCTACCGAAGAGTCAGCGGGGTGCATGGGGGCAGCCTGCACAAGGATGAGTGGTTCCTGGTCTGCAGTGGTGCCCTGGTGAATGAGCGGACCGTGGTGGTGGCTGCCCACTGCGTAACTGACCTGGGGAAGGTCACCATGGTCAAGACAGCAGACCTCAAAGTTGTGCTGGGGAAATTCTACCGGGATGACGACCGAGATGAGAAGACCATCCAGAGCTTGCGGGTAAGAGAGGGTTACAACGTGGACCCTGGACCCCTGGCTCAGCAAACTCCCAGCTTTAGGAGAACAGTGAAGGTGTCAGTCCTTCATCTCAGCTCATTAGCACCCAGCAGAGAGCCCAGCATGTAGCAGGTACCCAGTATTGCATATTGACAACTATGGAAAGGGAGCATCTAGAAAGAGTACAGAGTCCTTTTTCCATTTAATGTTTTAAAAATAAGATAGTAACAATTATCTCTTATTGTGGTCATCAAAAGTTAATCACCTGTTGTTATGTTTAGGGCACTGTACTGTGTAGGTTTTGAGGACATAGAGAGGTTTTATCCAGGATATTCCAAATCAATTTATAATCTCCTCTGTTTCCCTGCCTGCCTCCTTCCCTCCATCTCTTCTAGCTATCTACCCACATGCCCGTCCATCCATTCATCCATCCATCTATCCATCCATCCATCTATCCATCCACCCATCCATCTGTTCAGCTATCTATCTGTTCATTTGTTCATCCATTCATCTATCCATTAATCCATCCACCCATCAATCTGTTCCTCTATTAATCTATCCATATATCCACCCATCCATCCATCTATCCATCCATCCATCCATCCATCCATCTACCCATCAATCTGTTCAACTATTAATCTACCCATCTATTCATCTATCTATATGGATTTTGCCCTGAAGAGTCCATAGACTAGTAGTGGTAGACAGATTAGTACATCATGATTATTTCAATTCAAGAGAATCCCTGAGGAAATGAACCCAAATGTAGATGGAATAATAGAAACATACATAAAATGGTACAAGTTATCACAGATGTAAGCTCCTAGAGGCACCCATCAAAGAGTTGTGGCAAGGGTTGGGGCAATCAGAGAAGACTTGTGGAAAAGTCTGTGGAACATTTTATTTTGTTGGGTTGAAGATGAATGAAATGTTTACAGTGGACCAGGGATTGCCAACTGGTAGCCTGTAGGAGTTTGTGTTTCGATCGTGCTAACATATCATTTTTAAATCAGTTGTTCGCCAACATTTAAAAATTAGGTTTCAGGTAAAGATCTGGAGTCTAGTCTCTGGCAAAGTTAGAATGCTGGCCCCATTACTGCATGGCAGTGGTCAGCCAGAGCCAGGTGGCAATTGCCCACTCTAGATGGAATGTGTGCTCTCATTCTTAACAGCCTCGCCTCTCCACTCCACTTATTTAAAATACCTGCCAGGCCCAGCAGGCATTTCAGTTTGCAACCCTGGAAACAGAGCAGTCGCTTTCTATGATCCTTTGGGCAAAGTATCTCCAAATAATTGCAGCTGTCTCTTAGACATTTATTCCCGATAATTCAGCCCCAAGGCTTTCTTGCTCTTGTCCACTGAGGAGTGGGCGACTCACCATTGCTGTCTGTTCCTTGCACATGTAGATTTCTGCAATCATTCTGCACCCCAACTACGACCCCATCCTGCTGGACGCTGACATCGCCGTCCTGAAGCTCCTGGACAAGGCTCGCATCAGCACCCGCGTCCAGCCCATCTGCCTCGTGGCCACCCGGGACCTCAGCACCGCCTTCCAGGAGGCCCACCTCACCGTGGCCGGCTGGAACATCCTGGCAGATGTGAGGAGCCCCGGCTTCAAGAACGATGTGCTGCGCTCCGGGGTATTCAGGGTGGTGGACTCACTGATGTGTGAGGAGCAACATGAAGAGCACGGCATCCCCGTGAGCATCACGGACAACATGTTCTGTGCCAGCCGGGACCCCGCCGCCCCTTCCGACATCTGCACGGCAGAGACGGGGGGCATCGCGGCTTTGTCCTTCCCGGGACAGGCGTCCCCTGAGCCGCGCTGGCATCTGGTAGGGCTGGTCAGCTGGAGCTACGACAAAACATGCAGCCACAGCCTCTACACAGCTTTCACCAAGGTTCTACCTTTCAAGGACTGGATTGAGAGAAACATGAAGTGAGCTCAGGCCCACTGAGGGAGTGTCTGTGCCTCCGTGCATGCATGCGTGTGTTGCACAAGTCAGTGTGGACCTGAGGTGGGACTCTGCCCTTGAATTTGGCTGAGCCAGGGCTTCTGATTTCAAGCACAGAGCTTGTGGGGGGCAAGGAGAGCTCACTTGTGGTAGGCCCCTGCCTCCCTGGCTGCTCTGACCATTTGGAAGATACCTGTTTGCAAGAACTGGGTTGCTTCAAAAAAGATTATGTGAATAGCTAAGAAAAAGCTCCCATTCAAATGACCTGCCCTTTAATGGTGCAAATGTCATGGTCAGCCCTGGTGGGGAAGATTTGACTGGGAGGCCTGAGTTTCATGAGGTCTCTTCCAAGGCTCCATCCATCCAGACCAAGTTCCAAGGAGCCACCTTCGGGACAGCCCAGGACAGCGGAGCCTGGATGAGATGTTGACATTGGCTTTTGTGCACCTCCACAGTACCGTGTGGTCCTGCTCCTTCCCCATCTCCTGTACACATTTGAATAAAATAAGGGTTGGCTTCTGACCTACAGGACAAGTGTGTTACAGCTGATTTCTGCATGCTACTACTCTGAGCTGCATGTGTGGGGATGAGAGCCTTTTAAAATAGATCCTAAAGGTATAATTCCCCAAAATGCATATGGCACAGCTGAAACCATCTTTTGAATTCCAGTCGTTGGATTTGCTGGGTTGTGGGCTCGGGGAGGAGATACATGGGTATCTCAAATAAAGCACAGAGGAAAATACCAGGAATTAGGTCATTTCTAGTGTTTTTTCTGGTTCTCATGTTCTAGCTCTAGGACAGAACCCTGCCTTGAACCTCAATAAATCTTTATGACAGAGTTTCATAGAATCTGAACTGGAATCACCTACCTATTTACTCCACTAGATGGAGATTTGCCAAGAGACTGTGGCCTCATTGTTTTCTATAATTTCTGTGATTTTCCTTTCAAGCCCATCACCCAGCTCCCACTGGAGAGTAGAGATAACAAATGAAGTCAACCCAATCCAACCCCTGAATGATCTCTTCAGGGACATTCACTTTCTGTCCTGCTCTCCTCACCAATGTCTTCCTCTCCAAGACAGTGAATGGGGTCTTCCATGACTTAAGCATTGGGGTGAACAGGGATGAGTTCCTGCTGTTTCCTGGGTGTGTGTGGTGACTCTTCCCCATTCCTGGGCATGTTGCTGACACTGACATTGGGTGTGGGGGTCTGTAATCACTGTAACCTGTGCTGTGTTCTCTCTGCTTCCCTGAGGCCCAACATGCTGACTTGGCTCCTCCTCAGCTCTGGCTGGCATTGGTTCTCTTGACATGTGGGAGTGATATCTCTTTGACCCTGGTTTGGTCACTCAGCCTCATGGCCACAGTAATGACCTTCTCTGGCAGCTATTCAGCCAGACTCTCCTTGACCTCTTCTTCCTCCCTCAAGGGTCTCTGGGAACTTCTCGGGGTTTTTTTCTATACCTCCTGAGTGCTCAGAGCCCAGGGTCAGTACAGGGTGCCTGGGGAGACATTCATCTCCCATAGACCAAACAGGAGCTTGATTCTTCCTCGACATATCAGAGAACTGTGACCTCAAAAACTTCAGTCCCAAGACTGGAGGTCAGGACACATTTGTCTCCAAGTCTGTGTCTTTATATAATTCCCTGAGCCAGAGGAGAATTTCTGGTACTTTCTCTTTTTGTCAGGCTTTCTGTAAGTCACATTCTACTCTTTTTACTAAACCCTCCCCCCCAACACACACACACACACACACACACACACACACACACACACACACACACACACATACATCCTTGTGTTTTAACCCACCAGTTCTCAACCTTTTCCATCTCATGGCACACATAAACTGATTACTAAAATTCTGTGGCACGCTAAAAATACATTATACTTTTTGGTGATCTGACAAAAGATATGTATAATTTTAATTCATTCACACTGCATGGCTATTGTATTGGCTGTTGTCTTTTTTCTTTTCTTTTCTCTTCTTTTCATTTCTTTTCTTTTCTTTTCTTTTTTGTGACAATCTAAAGGAAAGAGGTCACTGCCCCTGACTAAATAGTCGGGTACATATTGCATGATTTAAAAATTCTTGCAGCATACAAATCGAAAATCGCTGGCCTAATCTAATACAAGTGTATTATCAATTTCTGAGTAGCCAACATCCAATGCTTAGTGAGCTAAAACAAGAAATGTTTAGTCCCTCTCTCGATTTCAGTGGATTAGGAATTGGGGAGCTGAAGTTGACATAAGGGTCATCTTAGACCTTAACTGAGGTTGGAGCATTAGCTTCTACAAATACTTTATCAGGTTGCTCAATTTTTTTTTTTTCATTTTGCTTTTTTTAAACCTAGGAAGCTTGGATCTGGAGAGGTGCAATGGAAGTCTGATCAAAGAGATCTAAATTCAAATTCCTGTCTTTCAGCTTCTTTTCTAAATGATCTTGGGCAAGTAGGCTAACCTTTCTAGCTCAGTTTCACCATCTGTTAGATGGGCATCATAAGATCTCTCTTGTGTGGTAGCTGTCATGATTTAGTGAGATATTGTATAAAGCACTGAATATAATACATGGCATATAGTTGGTGCCTAGATTACCTGGCAGGGACAAGGCTGTCCATCTGGGCACAGTGCCATCACACCACCACATCTGCATCTGTGGGCACATCTCACATGGGTACCAAGTTTGTACTCTCTGTTCTCCAACCCTGTCCTGACCCCTCCCCTGGATCACACATCCCCTACTTTCTTGACATTTAGTGTCATCTTCCATCTTTGCCTCACCACTCAGATTTGGTTCACATTCAAGTCATCTCAGAAATTAATGACTCTGATCCCCTCCAAAGCAGGATCTGGTGGTCTTTGGCTGGAAGACATTGAAAAAAAAAAAGTGTTTGTATGTATGTATGTATAAGTATTGCCTCAATCACATAGATTTTACTTAAATGAATATTGTTTATTACATGGCACACTCTTACTTTCCTTAGAGTGGCCAGGATTACACATTAAGTAGACTTTCAAGAATATCTGAATAGTCCACTCACCCTGTATCCGCTTACATAAACTCCCAACAGGAATTGAGAGGAAGGGACAGTCCAAGTAGGCCAGCGTTTTCCGTTAGCTTGTCATTCAGAGGGTAGTTAGAAATTCAGTCGAGTCTTTGGAGTGGTGGATGGGAAGGAAGTAGAATATTGTTAAGTACAGAAAGACATTGGAAAGTATATAAGATTAAGCCTGGAGGGGGATGGCTTGGAGAAGGGCCAGTTATTTCCCAAGATGAAGCCATTATTATAATGACAGGTGAAGTTGGCCAATTAAGGCAGGGCCAGTCAAGGTATGGTCAATTGGTGGTGGATCTCAAATGCTAGGATTAATAATTTGGCCTCTTTTTGAAAATATCAAGTTCATTTTGATGTCTCCAGAAGAGTGAAAGGATAGAATTGGAATTCTAGAAAAGCCCAGGAGGTTGGCAGTGCTAGACAGAGGCAGTGGTTGGAAAACCACTTGAGCTCAAATCCCAGCTTTGTCACTTATATGCTGTGATCTTGAGCATGACATTCAATCTTTCTCCTGTAGCTGCCTTATCTATAAACAGGAGTGAAATAATCTGAGGATTCAGTGAGCTAATGTGTACATGAGTTAAATATGTAGAACAGTGTCTGACCCACTGCACTCTATAAATATTAGCCACAATTTTGGTGGTGGTTTGTTATTCTTCAGGAAAAGGAGATTGGAGATTGAGAAACCAATGATGTGAAACCTTAGGAGTAGGGAGGGAGGAGAGAAAGGAAGATAAATTTTAGAATGCTGTTGAGCTGAGTTCCAAGCATGCAGAAATAAACTTGAAATTTCATGGAGTGGAGTTGATAATATGGGCAAAAAGAAATGGGTTCATGGAAGAACCAATAAGGCTGAGAGCAAGGAGAAATGGATTGTGTAAGTAGGAGTTAGCATAATAAATTTTTGAGACAAAGAGCCAGGGTGATTTTTTTTCTACATTTCCCGTGTGTGTGTGTGTGTGTGTGTGTGTGTGTGTGTGCGCGTGCCCGTGCATGTATCTGTGCGCAAGCATGTATTGTATGTTGGGGGTTGTGTACTGGCTGGACTTAATTAAAAGGGAGCAGGCTCAGCTAAATAAGTACAAAATTTGTAGTCATCTTACCCTTTCCTTTCTCTTCTTTCTGGAGTTGTAGGTATGGGGGCTTGACTATGAATCTTTACAGTCCTTTGGGACTTAAGAATTTTCATGCTGTCACCTGGCTGTTTGGCTCAGTGGTTGAGCATCAACTCATGAACCAGGAGGTCACAACACATGCCCTGTTGCAGGATTGATCCCCAGTAGGGGGCATGCAGGAGGCAGCCAATCAATGACTCCCTGTCATCATTAATCTTTCTCCCTCTTCCTCCTTCTCTGAAATCAATTTTTTAAATCACATTAAAAAAATTAAAGGCTAAACATTTTTTTTCACACTGTCAAATGTGCCACCTACTCAAAATGTAATGGGAATTCTATATTTACTTTCTATATCAGAATATGAGTTTAAAAAATCTATTCCGTCGTGAATTCAATCAAGAATTTCGATTTTATTGATTTTCTACTTGTCTGTCATTTATTCATCAGCAAAAATGTATAGAGGACTTACTGTGTGCCAAGGACTGAAAGATTAAAGGTGTCCTTAGTCTCAAATCTCCGAAATATGTGCATAATTAGAAATCATGCTAAGCACTGGTAAGGAAATTACAGCACGCTGTGAGACTGTATAACATGGGTAATGGATTTAATCTGGGAGGGATGAGATAAAATGTTAGCATCCCTGAGCAGTGATGGCCAAGTTAAGAAGGAATTGACTACTAGAAGGAGAGTAGTCATTTCAGACAGAAGATTATGTGCAAGACATTAAGAACGGGGGGCTCCTGGAAGATTTGAGGAACCAGGAGGGAAAGAAACCAGGAAGGAACTTGTGAGGAGGAGAGTGGTGTGGTGTGAGGCTGGAAATGGACTCCCATGGTGCATAGCGACTTGAGAAGCTGGGAGAACAAGAGGGCACAGCCAGAACAATACTGTACACATCAAAGCTCATGAATTTCTACATTTGCACTAGGAATTATCCTTGGGGTCATCAACACATCAGGTACAGCCTTTGGCTATGACTTTGGGCCTTTTTTGTTTCTAACCTGAATATGAATGAAGTCCTTGGGCCTCATTGCCCTCATACCAGGGCATGGAGCTCTACCTGAGAATTATCGGAAGTGAAGATGAATTAAAAGAGGAAAGCTGACAGCCAGTGTGAGACGCAAAGAAGTGAGACATATGCATCTTCACTCCCATCTTATTTTTTCTCCTTCCGTATCCTGTGAACATTTTGAGTGAAATACTTTGGATCTCCAGGGCTTGGGGACCTTTATCTTTTCAGAGCTGCTGGAGAGATGGGAACATTTTGCAGTGGTTTGGTAGCAATTTGTGGTCTCTCTTTGCTTTTCTTGGCAGCAGGACCTGCTTTCCCTGGCAGGGCTCTGCCCGGATGTGCCGCTGA